GGAGCTTCAACGTGTATCGCACTGCTTTGGTGGTGGGCCTCCGTTTTCCCCTTTATCCATTCGTCTAGCAGCTGCTGAATGAATATGACATTGCTCTATTCCAGCTGGTGCCGAACAGCTGGGCCAACATATTTGGCTACTTCGTGACATGCCTTAGGAATGGCTTCATCCCCAACTTCCCGGTCTCTGCGAGATGCACTCGATGGTGCGGATGAATGCCCAGACGCACGGCTGGTCCATCTGTAATACTCGCCCCGACTACTTAGTAGTCTTGCATAAGCCGTCTAAGTGGCGCAACTGGAGCACCGCTTTTATCGTATCAAGACCAACAATAGGGAGCTAAACCTGTGGATGAACAGGTTTAATGTCGAGCCTCTTCAGCTCGGACGGGGGGGATCATAGGCCGACTAGGCCGCCTGTTCACCCGGACCATGTGCACAAGCTTGACTATTTCAAGGTCAAGAAAGTGTGTAGAGACAGGAAGTTGGTGTCCGTGCTGTCCAACTGGATCCCACAGACCGACTGGCTCAATGACCTGGTATTTATGTCGGCGTGTGGCTTGTACCAGAACTACCCCCAAGGTGGAACTTCGTGACTTAACCGTTCGAATAGTTTTTTCTCAAAATATATTCTAACTCTTGGTTCTTTTTCTTATCAGACGAAGCCATGTCGAAGTTGGACCCGGAATAAAAGGGGAAGACAGACATGTCCGACTTCAAGCTCGAACGCTACCGGCTCCTTAGGTAAAACTATGAGGTGGCCAAGGAGGTACTTATCTTTTTCTCTCATTCTCTTTCTTTTTTTTTTTCTTTTTTTTTTGTCCAACCTGCTATGCAAGGAAGGGCATCCTTTTAACTTTTACTCGAACGGGATTGGTATCCCAAGCCTGTTGAGCTGGTATGTTAGGAAGAGTGTCCTTTCCGATTTTGCTCGGTCAGTGGATCTTAATATCTTGTCTTTTCATTTTCAGATAGCTACTCGTAGGCCTGCGAGAAAGTGGTCGGCATCCGCTTCTAAGGACGACCAGTCGTCTAAGTCTCGCAAAACTTTTGCAGCCAGAACTAGAGGTGTGCAAAAAAAAAAAACCGTAACCGTTAACCAGTATAACCGACTCATTTTATAGGTTAATTGACTGTATCGTTAAAAATAAACAGTTATGGTTTATTGAACCATTAAATATAGCGGTTAACGGTTACGGTTACGGTTACACTTTTGAGTAAACGGTTAACCGTTAAAATAAAAATATACTCCCTCCGTCCCATAATACTTGGGACGTTGGGGTAGACACGGAGTTTAAGAAAACTACAAGTGGGTCCATTTAACACATTTGTTATTGTATAAAAAATTCTCTTTTGTATTTTTATATTGCAAGAAACAACAAGTAGGGTGGGAGTGAGGTAGGTGAGGAGAGAGAAAATGTGGAAAAATATTTTTTTTATTAGTGATCCCATACCATATTTAGTAACGTGTCAAGTATTGTGGGACGAACGAAAATAGGAACTGTGCTAAGTATTATGGGACGGAGGGAGTATATTTTTATATTTTTTTTTTGAGAAAAAGAGAATTATAATTAAGTTAACCCTAAAAGAATCTTTATTGATTTTGTAATCAACTAATCAGAGCTGATTCTTGTTCATATCAAAATTTGTATTAGAGTTTAAACTCTTAGATTAGCGAAAAAGTATTGATTTATAATTTATTTATTGGTTAGCGGTTAATCGATAACCGTACCGCTAAGAAATGGTTAACCGTTGCGGTTAACCGTTCCTTAACGACACGGTTACGATTCGTATTTTTAAGTAACCTGTCTAACGATTAACCATAGCGTTAAGGCTTAACGGCACGGTAAATCTAATGTGAACAACCCTAGCTAGAACTCATTTGGCTTGCAGGCGGCCAAGACCAAGCCACGGACTGCCACTAAGCAGTCTAAAGGAGATAAACCTCAGCCGGCATCTCAGGCATCTCAGCCAAGACCAAGCCATTGACTCCGCATGTCGTGGATTTGACTTTTACTGGAGAGTAGCAGCAGGCTCTCAGGCGGACGGGGGGTCGCAACCACAACGTCTGGAGACTGAGGAGCAATCTCATCCTTCTCACTCTTCAAAGAGGGGTCCGTAACCGCCCCCATCTTTCTCGGAAGGTACCAAGTCTGATTTCTCACTTGGCTTTAATGTTTTAACTTTTTTAACTTTCTAACTTGTTTATATCTTGTAGACTTTGCCAAGGAGATGAACGTTCAAGCACCCGGCCAATCACTGACTGGGGCCGAACTCAAATCCATTCGGGAGGCCATGATTAAGGTCGTCCCGGCAGAAGTGCAAGACAAGTTCTGGGGAATCCACGAGGGGTTCCTCGGCGCAATGTTAAACAGTTGCGCTGAGGTAATCTGGCTTTTCCCAAGCTTTGATACTTAGTTTATTTTTGCACTTGATTTTTCTTTTACTGACTTACTTCTGTCCGTCCGCAGCTCTTCCTTAGGCGCAACGCCTTTCTCGATTGGCGCTTCCGTGAGTGGCGGCAGATCCAGTCGGCCTGGGATGACATCAAGAAAATACAAGATGCCAACAGCGGGACGCTGGCTATTTAGGAGGCCAAGCACTCGGTCACCATCAATGAGTTGAGTGAGAAGTCAGCTAGGCAAGCCGAGGACATAGTGAAGATGGGAAATGCCCTTCATTAGGCGCAGCTTGCTTGCGATGCTATGCAAAAGAAGAGGGATGAGGCGGTCGCCAATGCCTCTCAATAGAAGGAGGGCTCTGAGGCCTCTGAGAAGCTCAAAGCCGAGCTCCAAATGACCCGTTAGGCCCTTGAAGCCGCTCTGAAGGGGATGGAAGAACTCAATCAGGAGATCGAACGTCTCAAGAAGAACATTGAGGACCTAAACGAGCAACTCAAGGCGCCCAAACAGATCACTCCCAGAAGATGGTCCGGATTGAACAATTGTTCGAGAAGAAGCTCAAGGACCGGTTTGAGGAGGTCTTCACTATGATGTTCGACATCAGTGAAGTGTCGTACTACCAGGAGCACTTCGTCAGGCGGTTGAATCACGTCTCCCTCAAGGAGGAGGCCGCCCCCGAATTTGTCGATACTCCTTCTCCTTCCCGAAGCGATGATGAAGATGGTGATGATGATGATGATGATGATGATGATGATGATTGGGAAGAGGAAGAGGAAGAGTCGACTAAGGGAGAGGAGCTGGCCAAGTAGGACGAGGCGACCAAGGGTGATGGTGACAACGGGCCGATTGAATGAAGTGCTCGGTGTCTTCTACTGTAGCTGTTGTTTTAAGCTTTGTATTTTTTGTTTGGACTTATCTATTTTTGCCGCCATTTTGAGCGGTTTTGTAATATAACAATTTTCTATTGGCCGCCTGTTTGAGCGGTTTTTGTTTTTATGAAGTTTTAAATTTTCTTCATTCATACTTAGCATATTTTTCGCAATTTTCATGCTTTTACTATGCGTCTTTGCATGCGAATGAATATATACTGGGGGTATGCCCCTTTATTCGGCATTTTGTCTAGTCCATACTTAAAAAGGTTTGATTAACTTATTAGATTTTATACCTTGAAGGGTATGACGACTAGTAAGTTAATCAAATCATAATAATGATTGCCTTTGGACTAGGAAAATGCCGAATGAATTTAGATATGTGGTCGTTTAATTGGCTTTGCATTTATCTGTGCCGAGTCGTCCTTTGATGCTATCTCTTAGACGTACTCATGAAATTTTAGATATGATTTTAATCTGATAATTTCTAAACATTTAGGGAGCTTTGTAGCTTAGGCCTACCTTTACCCTTAGACTTAAAAGATGCCTTAGACAATTTTTAGGCTGCCTTTATTTTACTCGTCCATCCAACTTTTTTGTTGGACGTATTGAGTAGCAACCTGGCCATTGCGGCCGAGTTACTTAGTTGGAAGAGACCTTGTTAGAATTTTCTCTCGGCCTTTCAGCCTTACCCCATTCAGGGGCCGATTTGCTATGTTGTGCGTAACCATCGTTCTGATTTCGCTCGACATTCATGCTCAACATTAGTTGGTCGAAAGCTACATAATTTGCAATAATTTGAAGGTAAAAGATTAAGTAACAATGTTTGCATATTTCATTAATCTTGTCAAAATTACATTATTTAGTTGTACGACTTTAATTACAAGTTGTAAATACAACTTTTTGGCTAAGTACAAAAACTTTATACATATATTTTTTTTTGAGATTGTCCGTATTCCATCTACGTGGAATAGGACGACCGTCTAAGGCTTCGAGATGGTAATTTCCATCTCTTACTTCTTCACTGATTTGGTAAGGCCCTTCCCAATTAGGGGTTAGCTTGCCGTCTTCCTTTTCTCGGCCTACCGCTTCAATCTTTCTTTATACCAGGTCCCCCATTTTAAGCGGCCGCTTTGACACTTTTTTATAATATGCCCTTGTCATTCTTAGACGATATATTTTATGTCTTAGCGTCACATTACCCCTAGCTTCTGGAAGAAAGTCTAGGGCAGTCTTCATGGCCTCCCAATTGGTTGATTCATCATATACCATCACCCAAAGAGTGGGCTCGTACATTTCAATTGGGAGCACGGCCTCAGCATCATAGACAAGAAAGAATGGGGTTTCCCTAGTGGAATCTCTGACTGTTGTTCGAATGGACCATTACACATTAACCAACTCATCAGCCCTTAGGTCGCCTGCTTTCTCAAGCTTCCGCTTGATGCCATTGGAAATTAACTTGTTATAGGCCCCAACCTGGCCGTTAGCTTTCGGTTGGCCGACCGAAGCAAAGAAATGTGCTATTCCTTGGTCGCTAAGCCAATCTCTGAGATGGTTGGTCTCAAATTATGGCCCATTGTCGAACACCAATGACTGTGGAACACCAATACGTGTGATTATGTTCTTCCAGATGAAGGCGGATACATCTTTACACTTAATCCCGCGGACAGCCTCGGCCTCTACCCACTTCATGAAGTAGTCAACTGCTACTAACACATACCGCCGCTGCCTTATGCAAGAGTGCACGACCCTAAGATGTCCATGCCCCATTTGGCAAAAGGGAGTTGACTACTTATGGCCGACAGGCTATTCGCCAGATGGTGTATGAGGGTTGCGAATCTCTGGCACTTGTCACATTTTTTCACCATTTCCTTGGCGTTCGAATTCATGATCGACCATAAATACCCAAGATGGGCCACCTTTTCATCTAAGGCTCGTCCACCTATATGTGATCTGCAATGCCCATGATGGAAGTCGTCTAGAACTTCATGCCCCCGCTCGAGCGTAACACACTTCAGATAGGGTTTAACAAATGATTTTTTGAACAAGTGTTCCCCCTTATGCTTAAACCACGCCGCCTTTTTCTTCATCACCCAACCCTCCTTCGGATCGTCCGGAAGAACTCCATCTTTGAGATAGGAAATAATTCCATCCATCCATGTGGAGCTTCGGTTAATGGTTTGAACGGACTTGGAATCAATGCTTCGCTTCTCCTTAACTTCCCAGAATACAGATCTCGGAGTATCATATGATGCCGAGGAGGCTAGTTTGGACAAGGCGTCCGCTTGATTGTTCTCGGACCGAGGGACTTGTTGCAGCTTGAAATGATCTAAGCTCTTGGCCTCTTCTTTTACCATCTGAAGGTACTTCATCATTGTCGGCTCCTTAGCCTCGTAGTCATCGTTCACTTGGCTGACTATCAGCTGAAAGTCCAAACAAGCATCAATTTTTGTTGCCCCAGCCGCCTTACACATTCTAAGGCTGGCTAGGAGGGCTTCGTACTGGGCCTCGTTGTTAGAGGCTTGGAACTGAAATCTCAAAGCATACTCAAACTTATCTCCCTCCGGAGATAGATTAATAATGCCAGCACCACAGCCGGTCACTGTTGCACTCCCATCAACAAACACTTTCCATATCTGATCCCTTGCCGGCTGCTTATCCGGCCGTGTCATTTCAGCTAAAAAATCTGCAAAGGCTTGACCCTTGATTGGTTTTCTAGGTTCGAATGAAATATCAAACCCTCTCAATTCTAAGGCCCATTTAAGCATTCGGCCACTGGCCTCAAGTATTGTGAACGACTTTTTCAACTGTTGGTCCGTGTAGATCATAATTGAATGGGCAAGAAAGTATGGCCTTAGCTTCTTTGATGCCATAAATAATGCCAAGCCGAACTTCTCAATGGGTGGATACCTAAGTTCGGAATTGTGCAACACATGGCTAATAAAATACACAGGGATCTGATGGCCATCCCTTTCAGCAAGTAGGACGACACTTAAAGAGTGATCAGAGATTGCAAGGTACATGTATAACTTTTCATCCTTGAGCCAACTGACAAGCCGAGGGAGAGTATGCAAGTGATTCTTCAATTGAATAAAGGCTTCCTTAGCCTCCTTTTTCCACTCGAACATAGAAGTTTTCTTGATTGTTTGAAAAAAATAACGACACTTATCCCTTGATCTAGACAGAAACCGTCCGAGGGCGACTAAGCAGCCGGTTAGCCTCTGGACTTCTTTTATGGTTCTTGGCGATTTCATATCTAAGACCACTTGGATCTTCTCAGGTTTAGCTTCGATGCTGCGCTGATCAATCAAAAATCCGAGAAATTTGCCAGACTCAACACCAAAGACACACTTCTTTGGATTTAACATCATCTTATGCCACCTGAGTTCGGTAAATATTTCTCGGAGGTCACTTAGTTGGTTGGCCGACTTCTGTAATTTAACAATCATATCACCAATGTAAGCCTCCATATTCCGGCCGATCTGGTCTCTCTAGACCGTATTCACAAGTCGCTGAAAGGTAGCTGGGGCGTTCTTCAAGTCGAACGACATTACATTGTAACAGTATAACCCTTGCTCGGTCACAAAAGCTGTTTTCTCTTGATCTTTTTCCCACAAAGGGATTTGCTGAAATCTAGAATAGGCGTCCATGAAACTCATCAAGGCATGCCCGATCGTTGAATGGACTAGGCAGTCAATTTTAGGCAAGGGAAAGCTGTCATTTGGACATGCCTTATTGAGGTTGGTGTAATCAACACACATCTACCAAGTTCCATTCGGCTTCTTGACCAAAATTACATTAGCCACCCAATCAAGGTAGTAAGCCGAATGAAACCTGCGTCTAGCAATTTCTTTACTTCGGCCACGGCCACCTGATTCCTTTCTTCACCATGATTTCTTTTCTTTTGTCGGATAGGCTTAATGGCTGGGTTGACTGCCAGCTTGCATACGGCCAGGTCTGAGCTTATACTCGGCATCTCATGAACTTCAAAAGCAAACACATCCTTGAACTCTCTTAGAAAATTTACCAAGTCATCTCCAAGCAAGTCCATGGCCATAGTGCCAACCTTGAACGTCCGATCAGGCTTTCCCGGGTCCAACACTATGTCCATATGATCACCGGCCGGCTGCGGCCTTAACTCTTCTGGCCGATTGATGGTCATTAACTGCTATGCCAGCTCCTTCTTGATTGACTTGTGGTTTTTGCCGATCTGTTGTACTTGGAGTGACCCTCCTTTTGAGTTTTGCTCGAACACCCAGCTATATTCGAGTGATGTATTTGGGCTTCACGGCCAGCTGATTACACTCTTTTGCCATTACTTGGTCTCCCTGAATGGAGCCTATTTTCCCGTCCGACCGCTCAAACTTCATCAGCAATAAGTGAGGGACAATTACAGCTTTGCTGAATTCAGAGTCGGACGACCGATGATAACATTGTAGCCGATGAGCTTGTAATACCCCGTATTTTTGAGACGTATTTTCTAATTAATTAATTATTAATAATTTTCTAAACAGGGTATTTCGGTAAATTATTTTCTATTTGAATTTTGGTGCCAAAAATATTTTTAAAACTTAATTATTATTTTAGATTTTAGATAAGATTTATTATCCATTTATTTTATTTCAAAAACCGGAATATATATATATATATATATAGGATATTTTGAATAAGAAAAAATTATATCTTTCTTATTTATTTTAAAAGGGTCGAAAATCTATTTAATTAAGCTAGGAATTTCGTATTTTCTAGGCATAGAAAATCTGATTTGTCATGATTAATTAATTAGTTTAAATTTGGTATTTTTCTAATTAATTATTTTCTACAAAATATATTATTTACACAATCATTTTTTACACTTAAAATCTGGCAAAATATTTCCTGAAACTAAACAATGAGGTCCAAAAATATGAGCATGAATAGGCTCAATAATTTTGGCCACCTTATGCTAATTTTGGTTTAATTATTTTGGTGTATTTTAATTATCTTCTTTAAATTTCCTTATTTCCTTAATTCCTATTTTCCATCTCATAAAGATTTGATCATACAATTTAATTGCCTTAAATCCTTCTTGATTATTCTCCAAGCAAGCTCACTTGCCATCTTCCATTTCATGAATAAGCTACTTCACTTAATTCTTTATTTCTTAATCACCATAAACTAGACTTTCCTAAATTCTTTTACTCTCTTTTTCGAGTAATTCCTTAAACTAAAATTACCATAATTTTTTCTACAAAATCTTACATTAATTTATTCATTCATGAGCCTATAAATACCCCTACATACCTCTCATATTCTTAACACCAAAACTCAATTATCTTCTTCTCTCTTACTGTTCTTTTCCCTCAACCTTTTCCTACTTTTCTTTTCCTCTTTTCTAAAAAAAAAAAATCAGCCCATATATCTTTGGAGCCAATTTTTGGGCACTTATGTTCAGTTTTTGGGTTTTTCTATTTCATAGAAAAATGTTCCTCTCAAAAAATCCTTGAGGTTAGGCTCAAGGATCACCCAATTTGGAGTTATATTGAAGGAGTTATAGCCTCTCCAAGTTCCACCTATTATTTTTAATGCAAATTCAATTCTCTTTAATCCTATTTATAAATTAACCTTGAGAATTCATGTTTTGAATACCTATTTCAAAGCTATAATTTTATATTAAAGTATTATTTATTTAAAAGAGTTTTATAGTCCATGCATATAAGATTTGGGTTTATGGCTAAGGATGTTGTGATAACCTTATGGTTATGTTAATTTCAAGGTGTATTCGTGATTGAACTTTGGAAGTGCGAAGTTTTAATTGAGATTCGGAATTAAGGTACGTTTAGGTGGCTAGGTACCTTCGAAATTGTTGAATTAATAACCATGTTTGTGTGATTTTAATTAAATTGCTTTGAATTATGATTTATAAATTAACCTTGAGAATTCATGTTTTGATAAATATGTTTGAGAATGGATTTCTATCTTATTTTAAATGGTTTGAAATTATTTATTATGTTTAAAGGAATTTGGTTTTTAAAAGCATGTTGGATTGATTAAAAGAGTTTTTAAAAAGGTTTGATTTTAAAAACTTGTTAAATTAAATACAAAAGGAGTTTTTGAGTTATTCTATTATGAAGTTTGATTTTATTCAAAAGAGGAATTTCATGAGAATTATTGAATTATTTATTAAAAGCTTTACAAGCATGATTATTATATTAATCCCACTATGCGGATTCATTGAAGACTATGGACTTTGTATGACCTGGTCTTTCCTCAAGAATAGCCTTTCAATATAAAGATACTAGCTTGGGGGGTGTGCACACTTAGGAGAGGATTTGGGTTTTTAAAAATGAATTGGTTTTTATCACTTGAATTATTATTTAAATTATTATTTAGTTTTTTTTGGAATTGTTTAGAGAATTTTGAGAATTGGTTTTGAATTATGAGGTTTGAGTTATTGAATTAATTATTGGAATTTCATGATTGGTTTTAAAAGCATGTTTGCAAATAAATTGAGTTTACTTATCTTGCACTTATCGTACTTAGCATATTTTGCTAATCCGTATTTCCTATTTATTTTGGTTCGCCTTGTTTACTTTAATGGTAAGCAGTGTTGACTATTTTCAGGTGGAGTCAATAAATGAGCATTTGGGAGTCCCGGGATATTCTTCACCTAGTTAGGAATGTTGGTCTTTGTTTCTATTTTTGACTACTCATGACAATAGTTATTACTATTTTATAAGTATTAATAAAAGAAGAGTTGAGTTTTCCGCTGCAAGTTTGTTATTGAGTTAAGTATTTTGAGTAGTCTTGCGTAATCAAGCGGCAATAATACGCCTAAGTTTATCTCTACGTTATAATTATACTAGTATTTCCATAGAGGGAGATTTGGGGGTGTTACAAAGCTCTTTAACAACTAGGAAGCAGACGACCATGTCCCTTCCTTCCTTTCTCGAACCAAAGCGGATAGGCAAGTCTATCTGTCCCATTAAATGGATAATTCTCCCTCCAAAACCAACCAACGGATGGGAGATATCTTTCAGAGTATCCTCTAGAACTTCAAATTTTTCAAGCAAGCTAGGCTGATTATGTCGGACGAGCTACCTGTGTCTATCAACACTCGTTCAGCCTTCAGGTTGGCAACTTTAAGGATAAACGCCATGGGATCATCGTGGGGGGCTTTAATTTTGCCTCTGCCCGCCTCGCAGATAGTCACTTCTGGGAAAGGCTCTAGCTTGACATCTTCCATGTGCATCACTTTCCCCATTTGCCTAGCATCTTGCTTAATTCCTTTCATGGTTGGGCCGCTTGCAACGAAACTGCCTAAGATGACGGCCACAAAACCTGAGTCCATGCTATTCCCATCCTCATCATATTTTTTCTTCTTCTTCTCGAATTTGTTGTCCGTTCGTGAATAAGTGACTTAGACTTCAGCACATACGAGTTGAGCATGCCCTTCTCGGCCAGCTTGTCCAATAATCATTTCAGGTTATTGCATTCATTTGTATCATGCCCCACGTCCTTGTGGTAATGGCAATACGTTTTTTTGTTCCGATATTAGGCCGGCTCCCTCAAAGGTTGGGGATTCTCGAACTGGAACTTGTCCTTGATTTCTATCAAAATCAAGTAACAGTCTTTGTTGTACTCATATTGCAGTTCGTAAGTTTTGGCTTTCTTGGACTTGGTTTGTTGGCAGTCAGCCACCCAGACTTCTTTTCTTTTATTGTTTCCTTCTTTCTTCTTGTCGGTCGAGTCTTGCTGAGAAGAAGGTTTCTTCTCGGCGCCTTTGGTTGGCTCTTTTGCTTTTGTAAGTGAACAGAAATCAACTGCCTCAATATATGATTCGGCTTCCCGTAGAACACCTACGTATGTCCGAATCTTTTATTTGACCAGATCAAACTTAAAACCATTGTGCCTTAATCCTCGAAGAAACTCCGAGTAGGCTATTTCATCCGATAAATTTTTTATTTGCGCTTTCTCCATATTAAACCTCAGGACGTACGAACGCAGCCCTTTCTTCTTTCCTTGGACAATGGTTGCCAAGTTAAGACTAGTCTTCCCGGGTGGTATGTTTCAGGAGAAGTTTCCAACGAACAACAGACTAAGAGTTGTGAAACAGTTTATGCATTCGGCCGGTAGACTGTTGAACCAG